CAGCCTCCTGAGTAGCTGGGATTACAGGCATGCGCCACCATGCCCAGCTGATTTTTTGTATTTTTAGTAGAGACGGGGTTTCACCATGTTGACCAGGATGGTCTCGATCTTTTGACCTCGTGATCCACCCGCCTCGGCCTCCCAAAGTGCTGGGATTACAGGCGTGAGCCACCGCGCCCCACCCCAGAGCGGCATTTTTCTGTCTTTTAATAGGAAAAGAGATCTTGGGTTCAGTTTGGGTGGGACCTCAGTCCTAATTACCCCCCGCCAATCACTTGTTTCCTCCAGTCCACCCTCCTGAAGGTCATTGACAAAGACTTCGTTGTCTCCTAGGAGAAGGTACCATAAATCTCGGGTCAACATAATTCCATCTTAATATCAGTGACTTTATAAAAATTTACCTTGTGCCTGAGCCTCTAGAGCCCGAGTGCAAAGCAGTGATTGGTCAAAATTCGGCCTCCCTCCCACTCTGAGCTCGGAGTGTCCCCTAGCGCCTGTGTTTTGAGTCTGTTTCCAGAACCTTGGCATGAACTTGGGACTTGGCGTCTGGATCCCTTTTGATCACACTCAGGTCACCTGCAGGGAACTCCACTCAGCACTGCAAGGTTTAGACCAGCTCGGTCCCACAGAGAAAGCAGTCAACCACTATGTCATTTTGTTTTAGTTTTTTGTTTTTTTTTGAGACGGAGTTTCACTCTTATTGACCAGGCTGGAGTGCAGTGGTGCAATCTCAGCTCGCTGCAACCTCCACATTCTGGGTTCAAGCGATTCGTCTGCCTCAGTCCCCTGAGTAGCTGGGATTACAGGCATGCACCACTACACCGGCTAATTTTCTATTTTTAGTAGAGACGGGGTTTCTCCATGTTGGTCAGGCTGGTCTTGAACTCCCGACCTCAGGTAATCTGCCCGCCTCAGCCTCCCAAAGTGCTGGGATTATAAGAATGAGCCACCACGCCCGGGTACCACTAGGTCGTTTTAAAACAGCTTCATCTGAGGCCAGGCACTGTGGCTCATGCCTGTAATCCCAGCACTTTGGGAGGCCAGGGCAGGCAGATCACGAGGTCAAGAGATCGAGACCATCCTAGCCAACATGTGGTGAAACCCCATCTCTACTAAAAATACAGAAATTAGCTGGGCATGGTGGTGTGCAGGAGAATCGCTTGAACCTGGGAGGCGGAGGCTGCAGTGAGCTGAGATCGCACCACTGCACTCCAGCCTGGCAACAGAACAAGGAAGTTAACTCACAAACCATACAGCAAGCCCATTTAAGGTGTACAAGTGAAAGTTTTCGGTGTCTTACCTTATTTTTGTTTTATTTTATTTATTTATTTATTTTTTGAGACAGAGTCTCGCTCTGTCACCAGGCTGGAGCGCAGTGGCACAATCCCGGCTCACTGCAACTTCCATTTTCCAGTTTCAAGCAATTCTCCTGCCTCAGCCTCCTGAGTACCCAGGACTACAGGCACGCACCACCACGCTGGGCTAATGTTTTTGTAGTTTTAGTAGAGACGGGGTTTCACCATGTTGGCCAGGATGGTTATTTTTTTTAAGACAAGGTCTTGCTCTATCACCCAGGCTGGAGTTCAGTGGTACGATCACAGCTCGCTGCAGCCTCGAACTTCCAGACTCAAGCAGTCCTCCCAAGTAGCTGGGACTACAGGCGTGTGCCACCATCCCTGGCTTATTTTTGTATTTTTAGTAGAGTTGGGATTTTGCCATGTTGCCCAGGCTGGTCTTTTTAACATGTTTTATTTTATTTTGTATGTTGTATGTATGTTTTTTTGAGATGGCAACTCGCTCTATCACCCAGGCAGGATCTCGGCTCACTGCAACCTCCGCCTTCCCGGTTCAAGTGATTCTTGCGCCTCAGTTTCCTGGGTAGCTGGGATTATAGGCTCAACCCACCATGCCCGGCTTATATTTGTATTTTTAGTAGAAATGGGGTTTCACCATGTTGGCCAGGCTGGTCACAAACTTCTGACCTCAGATGATCTGCCTGCCTCGGCCTCCCAAAGTGCTGCGATTACAGGCGTGAGCCACCAAACCCAGCTATTTATTATTAATTAATGTATTATTTATTTATTTATTATTTACTATTATTATTTTTGAGACAATCTCGCTTTGTCGCCAGGCTGGAGTGCAGTGGCGTGATCCTGGCTCACTGCAACCTCCACCTCCCAGGTTCAAGCAATTCTCCTGCCTCAGCCTCCCGAGTAGCTGGGATTACAGGTGCATGCCACCACGCCCAGCTAATTTTTGTATTTTTAGTAGAGACAGGGTGTCACCATGTTGGCCAGGATGGTCTCATTCTCTTGACCTCGTGATCTGCCCGCCTTGGCCTCCCAAAGTGCTGGGATTACAGGCGTGAGCCACTGCACCTGGCTTACTGTATTTATTTTTGAGACAGAATCTCCTTCTGTCACGCAGGCTGGAGTGCCGTGGTGTGATCTTGGTTCACAGCAATCTCTGCCTCCCAGGTTCATGTGATTCTCATGCCTCAGCCTCCCAAGCAGCTGGATCTACAGGTGTGTGCCACCACACTCAGCTAATTTTTGTATTTTTAGTAGAAACGGGGTTTTACCATGTTGGCCAGGCTGGTCTCAAATTCCCGACCTCAGGTGATCCGCCCACCTCGGCCTCCCAAAGTGCTGGAGCTAACAAGCCATGAGCCACTGTGCTCAGCCGGTCACCTTGTATATGACCTGAAAAACCCAATCTCATTGTACCTTTCCCTGCCTTAGTCATGGATTTACGCCTTGCCCCAGGGACATGGAGAGCAATGATGAACAGCTATGCCTTGTCCCCTGCCTCCAGGGCGTATGTATTTTACTAGCCTGGGGAAGACTTCGGGGATGCCGGGAAAGGGCTTGTCTAATGGGTGGGAGGAAGTGGACTCTGGGCCAAGCTCCCTTTGTTCAGACACCAGCTGTGCTGATTTTTGCTGTGAGTCACTTGGTCTCGGTTTTCTCATCTCTGAAATGGGAATAATGGCAGCTCCTCTAAGGACTCACGGCTGGGAGCTTTGATAAGCAGGCCATTGTCACCAATGACCCTCACTCCTCTCTCATCTCTTCCAGCTCCTCTGACCCATGGAACTCCTGGGCCCCGCCAAGCCACGATGGCCGTGGCGCCACTGTCTGGCCGGGCTGCTGTTTCAGCTGCTGGTGGCTGTGTGTTTCTTCTCCTACCTGCGTGTGTACCGAGATGATGCCACTGGGTCCCTCATGGCAGTGAAACCTGTCACTGGGGCTCCCAATAGGTCCCACTGCCAGGACAGCACGGGGACCCCCGCCCGCCCCACCCTCCTGATCCTGCTGTGGACGTGGCCTTTTAACATACCCGTGGCTCTGTCCCGCTGCTCAGAGATGGTGCCCGGCACGGCTGACTGCCACATCACTGCCAACCGCCAGGTGTACCCACAGGCAGACGCGGTCATCGTGCACCACTGGGACATTATGCAAAACCCCAGGGCCCGGCTCCCGCCCCGCACCAGGCCTCCGGGGCAGCGCTGGGTCTGGTTCAGCATGGAGTCCCCCAGCCACTGCTGGAAACTGCAAGCCCTGGACGGATACTTCAACCTCACCATGTCCTACCGCCGCGACTCCGACATCTTCACACCCTACGGCTGGCTGGAGCCGTGGTCCGGCCAGCCTGCCCACCCACCGCTCAACCTCTCGGCCAAGACCCAGCTGGTGGCCTGGGCGGTGTCCAACTGGAATCCACAGTCCGCCAGGGTGCGCTACTACCAGACCCTGCAGGCGCATCTCAAGGTGGACGTGTACGGGCGCTCCCACAAGCCGCTGCCCCAGGGGACCATGATGGAGACGCTGTCCCAGTACAAGTTCTACCTGGCCTTCGAGAACTCCTTGCACCCCGACTACATCACCGAGAAGCTGTGGAAGAACGCCATGGGGGCCTGGGCCGTGCCCGTGGTGCTGGGCCCCAGCAGGAGCAACTACGAGAAGTTCCTGCCGCCCGACACCTTCATCCACGTGGACGACTTCCAGAGCCCCAAGGACCTGGCCCAGTACCTGCAGGCGCTGGACAAGGACCACGCCCGCTACCTGCGCTACTTTCGCTGGCGGGAGACGCTGCGGCCTGGCTTCTTCAGCTGGGCACGGTGTTTCTGCCAGGCCTGCTGGAAGCTGCAGCAGGAACCCAGGTACCAGACGGTGCGCAGCATAGCCGCTTGGTTCACCTGAGAGGCCGGCGTGGGGCCTGGGCTGCCGGGGACCGCGCTTTCCCCGGGCCTCACTGAGCGGGACCTCACCCACCTAGGGACTCACTAGTCTGGGGATTTACCTACCTGGGGCCTTATCATCTGCTGGGCTCACTTCCCTGGGACCTCACCTGCCTGGGGCCTCACCTGCCTGGGGCCTCACCTGCTGGAGGCTTTGGTGACTAGGAATGTCACTTACCACGGACCTTACATACTTCACTGCTTCCAGGAGCATCCCCTGTGGAATCCTCACCTGCTGGGGACCTCAGCTGTTGGTGACCTCGCCTGCTGGGGATCTTGGCTGTTGGGGACTCTACTCACTGGGACCTGGCCCCAGAGATCTTGCCACACTGCATCTCACCTGCTAGGAGCCTCACCTCCTTGCGACCTCACCCTGGAAGGCACTGGGCCCTGGGAACTGGCACTCTTGGGGCCCATCCACAAGGGAGAGTTCCGGCTGATTTGTCTGTGATGTTGTTAACTGCCTGGGAGGGGCGCAGAGAGACAAAGACTGTACCCTTTCCAGATGTCATACTGCAAGGAAATCCGATGAGGTGGCCGGGTGCAGTGGCTCATGCCTGTAATCCCAGCACTTTGGGAGGCTGAGGCTGGTGGATCACCTGAGGTCAGGAGTTCAAGACCAGCCTGGCCAAAATGGTGAAACCCCATCTTTACTAAAAATACAAAAATTAGCCAGGCGTGGTGGCGGGTGCCTGTAATCCCAGCTACTTGGGAGGCTGAGGCAGAAGAATTGCTTGTACCTGGCTGTCAGAGGTTGCAGTGAACCAAGATTTCGCCATTGCACTCTAGCCTGGGTAACATGAGCCAGACTCCATCTCAAAAAAAAAAAAAGAGCCAGGTGTGGTTACTCATGCTTGTAATCCCAGCAATTTGGCAGGTCGAGACAGGCAGATCACAAGGCCAGGAGTTTGAGACCAGCCTGGCCAACATGGTAAAACCCCATCTCTACTAAAAGTATAAAATTAGTTGGGCGAGGTGGCAGGCACCTGTAATCTCAGCTACTCAGGAGGCTGAGGCAGGTTAATTGCTTGAACCCAGGAGTCAGTGGTTGCAGAGAGTGCAATCTCGCCATTGCACTCTAGCCTGGGAAACATGAGCAAGACTCCATCTCAAAAGAAAAAAAGAAAAGAAAACTGATGATGTGTTCTTCTCATTCTAGGACAGTGGTTGTCTCCCCAGGGTGATTCTACCCTTAGGACGCTCAGCAAGGTCTGGAGATATTTTTGGCCATGGAAGTGCGGGAGGGGGATGAGGTCACCTAGTGGGAGAGGCCAGATTACTCTCAACCCCCTATGATCCATAAGATGGCCACCCAACCAACAGTGATCTGGTCCCAAGTGTCCAGAGATAGAAGTTTCTATGGCCCTGGGGGCAGGTGTCGGAGCCCTGGGAGATGCATCTCCAGCTGCTTCTAGACCTGTCTGTTCTAGAGTGGGGTGAGGAAGGCCCAGTGTGGGTGGGGAGTGGGGTCCCAGCTGTCTGGGGGACAAAGTGGGACCTGGCTGGGACAAGGGGAACTTTCCCNGGATGAGGTCACCTAGTGGGAGAGGCCAGATTACTCTCAACCCCCTATGATCCATAAGATGGCCACCCAACCAACAGTGATCTGGTCCCAAGTGTTCTGTTCTAGACCTTTCTATGGCCCCGGGGACAGGTGTCAGAGCCCTGGGAAGTGCATCTCCAGCTGCTTCCTTGGGGTGGGCTGACTGAGTGGGGTGAGGAAGGCCCAGTGTGGGTGGGGAGTGGGGTCCCAGCTGTCTGGGGGACAAAGTGGGACCTGGCTGGGACAAGGGGAACTTTCCCGCCCAGACACAGTGCCAGGTGGGGCCAGTTAAGTCAGCCGAGGTGTTAGGGACAGGACGGAGAAGGGCAGAGGCTCCCCGAGAAAAAGGGGGGTGGGTGTGTCAGTGACCTTCAGCATGGGGGTGCACGTGGCTGGGGCGACACTCAGTGTATGGCTGCCAGGAACGTGTCACTGTGGGTGCGACTGTGTGTGCATGTGTATTCGTGTGGTGATTATTCCAGGTGTGAGACTGAACGTGAAGGCCCTGGGAGTGTATGTCATTTTTTGTTTTGGTTTTGGTTTTTTGTTTAGATGGAGTCTTGTTCTGTTGCCCAGGCTGGAGTGCAGTGGCACAATCTTGGCTCACTGCAACCTCCAACTCCCGGGTTCAGGCAGTTCTCCTGCCTCAGTCTCCCGAGTAGCTGGGGTTACAGATGTGCCCTACCATGCCCGGCTAATTTTTGTGGTTTTAGCAGAGAAGGGGTTTCACCATGTTGGCCAGGCTGGTCTCGAACTCCTGACCTCAAGTGATCCACCCACCTCGGCCTCCCAAAGTGCTGAGATTACAGGCGTGAGCCACTGTGCCCGGCCTGAGAGTATGTTATTTATTTATTTATTGTTTTAGAGACAGATGGGAGAGCAGTGTCATGATCATGGCTCACTGCAAGCTGGAACTCCTGGGCTCAAGCGATCCTCCCACTTCAGCCTCCCAGGTAGCTGGGACTGGAAGCATGCACCGTCACGGGGCTCTCGCTTTGTTGTCCAGGCTGATCTTGAACTCCTGGCTTCAAGCGATTGTCCGGCCTCAACCTCCCAAAAGGTGGAGATTACAGGCGTGAGCCACCGCGTCTTGCCCTTGAGTGTACCTTCGCATGTGGGACAGTTCAGAGGCCCCTCTCTGAGTGTGCAAGGCTCTCTGTGTCTATGTGGGTCTTTCGCTGTGTGGCTGCCGCAGGGCTGTGCGTGGACACAAGTGTGTCTGCAGGTGTGATGAACAGGATGGCGACTCAGGCTATGTGTGCACTCCGAGTGTGTGTCTGTGACTACAGGTGTGATGCAGTGTGCTTTTGTGAATGAGAAGTGACTTTGAAAGTGTTCTCTCAGGCTGGACGTGGTGGTTCACACCTGTAATCCCAGCACTTTGGGAAGCTGAGGCGGGAGGATCACCTGAGGCGTTTAAGACCAGCCGGCCAACGTGGTAAAACCACATCTCTACTAAAAATAGAAAAAAACAATTTAGCCGGGAAGGACGAAGAGGCTCACGTCTGGAATCCCAGCACTTTGGGAGGCCGAGGCGGGCAGATCACAAGGTCAGAAGATTGAGACCATCCTGGCCAACATGGTGAAACCCCGTTTCTACTAAAAATACAAAAATTGGCCGGGCACGGTGGCTCACGCCTGTAATCCCAGTACTTTGGGAGGCTGAGGCGGGTGGATCAAGAGGTCAAGAGATTGAGACTGTCCTGGTCAACATGGTGAAACCCCGTCTCTACTAAAAAAAAAAATACAAAAAATCAGCTGGGCGTGGTGGCGGGTGCCTGTAATCCCAGCTACTCAGGAGGCTGACAGGAGAATCGCTTGAGCCAGGGAGTAAGAGGTTGCAGTGAACCAAGATCGAGCCACTGCAGTCCAGCCTGGCAACAGAGTGAGACTGTCTCAAAAAAAAAACCGCACACACAAAAAACAAACTAGCTAGGCTTGGTGGTGGGTGCCTGTAATCCCAGCTATCCAGTGGCTAAGACACAAGAATCACTTGAACCTGGGAGGCGGAGGTTGCGGTCAGCAGTGATTGCACAACTGCACTCCAGCCTGGGCGCGTTTAGACAGAAGAAAAAAAGAGTGTCCCTTTTTGAGTATGTAGTTCTCTCATTGGGTCCACATGGACCCTCAGTCTCTTCATCCAGAGTGGCTCCACCTCCCTCTACTAACTTCAGCTCCGCCTTTGTCTTCCCCAGAAGCCCACAGAGTGGGAGAACTGCAGGTTGAGCTGGACCTCAGTCTCCTCTTGCAGTGTGCCTCTCCAGAAGCCCATACAGCCCATGTAGGGTCATGGGTCCTCCTGCTCAACCCTTGTACAGTCCCTGTGCCTTGTGTGTGTGACAGACCCCCAGCCGGTGTGCGGCCTGCGCCGTTGGGAATGTAGCCCCCAGGGACTGCAGGGGCTTCTCTGTTTATTTATGTTCCAATTCCCTGGCTGGCTGGGCCATCGGCCTGTGGCTGGGACTCTGGATCTTCGTGGGGCACAGGAAGGCCGAGGTCCCGGGAGGCCCTGGAGGGTGAACAACACACACACACATATACACAGCGGCAGGGGAACTTCTGGGCGGCAGACCCCCATGTGTGTCCTGGGCTGAACAACTCTCCTCTCTCTGAGGCCAGGCCATCTAGGATGGGGAAGCTGAGGCTCACAGTAAGCGTCACTGGGGCTTCAGGAGCATCTGAGAATTCCAGCCTCTCTGCGGAGGCCAGTCTGAGCCCAAACGGTGGAGGAATCCAGCACCCCAAACCTCAGTCAGGAGACTGCGGGGGTGGGCGGGGACCCCAGCCAGCAGCAGCCCTGAAACTGCTTCCCAAGCAGACCACCCACGGGCTGGGGCCTGGCCGCCAAGCCCTGCTCTCGGGCCCCCGGGAAGTCCTGCTGATTAGCTGCCGTGTGTCCAGCTGTAGCTGGGGGGGTCCCCGTGAGCCGAGCCAAGTGCCAGGGATTCTCCCTGGGGGCGGTCTTTGCCCTCCAGCTTTGTGGGGGGGAAGGGAGGGGAGGGGCCGGCTGAGCCTGGGGCGGACACTGTGGTTAGAGGGTGGGCCTAAGGGGCAGATGTGTGGGAGAGGGGAGGGGGCCCAGCTGAGGGGAAGAATTGTAGCCCCCAGTCTGAGGGGCAGGAGGGGAGGGGTCCTGCCTCACCACTGCCCGCCCTGGGCTCACAGTGCCCGCCCTTCCCCGCCCCTCAGACCGCGGGACCCGCCGACCCCTCCCGCATTCTGGGAACCCAACCCCCAAGGCCTGCCAAGCATCAAGGTGACACCATGGGCAAATCTAAACACCGTCCCGGGCTTTTTCCATCCTCCGCAAGGGCTCGTCGTAAATCCCCCCTCGAGGCCCAGCCAAGGCTTTTATGAGCAGAGGACCCAGGTCTCTGGGGACCCAGCTCTACCCCAGCAGGCGCCGGCTTCGGGCTGGATGGGCCTGGCGCCTGCCCCAGGCCTCCCCGCCGGGAGGTGGGCAGCTTGCGGGTATTTTTAGTAGCTGGTGGAAGGAGATAGTGGCTTTCAGCTCACTCTCGTGGGG